TTTTCTTTTTGTTTTTTTTTTATATTTTTTCCCTTTTCACTTCTTTTTTTTTTCTTTTTGACCCTCTTTCTGTTCTTGACTCCCTAGAGAAAATTATTCTAGAAATTGCCGTCGTCCCGCACCCGCTTTAAAAATTGCCCGCAGGAAGGCGGGACTCCGCGCGTGGTGTGTAAGTGGGCATGTAACCCCATCTGCCATTAAATGCGCATAGATGACTCATCTCTGGGGGAAGGATCCCCGCGGGGGGAGGAACACCGCCACTTTCGCATGCGTAAATATGCGTTTACATTCATCCGTACTTGTATATTCACATACATGTACAGAGGTGTATATGGCCTACTCGCATACCGTCAACATAGCCAATTCACTACCAACAAAATAAGAGCTGCAAAATGAAGCAAGCAAATTTTTTTTTTTTCGACGCATTAGAGGCCCCAAAATGTATTCGTTTATGGTAACTTTAGATTTAATCTTGCGCAAGCGTGCAAGCCACATGTGCCTTTTTATTTAATTTCAACTTGTGCATATCGTCACTACAAGAAAAGGTTCTTCTTTATATGCGTTTTCACGTATGCATGCATTTTTGCGTATACACAACTACTCATTCCGATGCTCGTGTAAAGGTGAATGACACTTGGGCCTGTCGTGCCAATTCACGCAATGGGGCAAATAAAAGAGGGAGTCAAAAAAGGCGGACATAATTTCCAACCTACCCCAGGTTCGCACTTCCCCAAGTGCAAATTTGCGTGCATGTTCAGGCGCGCTTTCCACATTTGTGCACATACTTTTGTGTACGTGAAAAGGGCGAACTAGCCATGGTCGGACTAAACAACGAGCGGATGAAGGCGCTCTCCATTATGTTCCCTCCAGAATTGTGCTACTTCTGAGGGCACCCACTTAACACGAAAATTGCAGCCACCCTTTTAATGAACCTTCCCCCCCCAACTGGCAAGTGCGCACAGTTCAGGACATCCAAGTTGACATATCCCACATTTCAGTATTATTTTGTTCGACCATATGGAAAATTTGTTTCCTACTTCATCCCATGCTACGTTGCAACAGATTGACCAACCAACCCTCCGAACATCATTAAGCGGTGGGGTCCCATCTCCCAAAATACATACCCAATGCATTCCATGTGGGGTCTGCACACCCTACTTCCCCCTACTTCCGCAAACGTCAAATGATGTTAACATAAGTGGTAGTGGAAGCTTCCACTCAGTTCAACGGACATTTTTTCAACACAAGGGCAATTTTACACTATGGCAATAGCCAAAAAAAAAAAAAAAAAAATCAAACATAGGCTTCACATAACTGTACATAATCACACGTAAAAAGCTTTCCTACACACACACACACACACACTACGTGGTGTCGATAAAGTAGCGCAAAAACAAACCAAGGGAACACGTCCCAAACTGAAAGGCTAATAACAGTACCACTAAGTGAAACTCAGAGAGAGGCCCAAATAAATACAAAATCAAATTTATGAGAGTATAATTGTGAGAATATGTTAATTTATTCGTCTTGGGATTCACAATTGGCAATCTGTGTCTTGGGCATGGGACAAAATTAAGCAATTGTGGCAGCGAAAGAAAAAAGTTCAAAAATTGTGGAATTAAAAATAATATCAATGTTTTGGAGAAATGACCAAATATCGAAAGAACTGCTAAAAAAATGCCACAAAAATAGGTTAACGTGTTGCCGACAAATCCTTTGGATGGATAAAAATTAAAAGAAAAGGTAACCAGGTTTATCGATACAAATGGCAGTATAAATATAATTGACAGGAAATGTTGTTTAAGGATTTGTGCCCCTTCGATGTTCCCTTTGCTTCCCCCAATTCCTATATTTTGGATAATTTCCTGTACGGGTAAAACACACGCATGTGCATACACATGTGAATAATTGCGTAAATGCCTGTGCGAATGATTATTTGCGTACTGGTGTGTTTATACACATATCCACTCATCTGAGCCGTTCGACAACACATGAGGCGCGCCTTCACAACTGCGCAGTTGGCAATTTTATTACTATCAAATTGTGGATCGAAATGAAAAAGGCAATAATTAAGCTCTGGCCTATCTCCAATCCGTTGATTCCTTGGGGGAAAAAAAAAAAAAAAATGAATGTCCAAAACGGCATACCAAATAAAGCCTACACTCTCCAAATAAACAAATCTCGCACAAAATTAAAAACATCCCTACCTGCGTATATATTTATCGCATTCGTACAAAAAACACACAACAGGATTATGTACAAATAGTAGAAAAAGCCAATGTCTATAATCCTTTCTTTAAATATGAATCTTAAAAAATTGGGAATGCGGATATTCGTGTTTCCGGAGTAAGACAACAGCAAGGGTAAGCTAGCTAAAAAGTAAAAAACAAAAAAAAAAAAATATGAACAAGCGAGAAAAAAAAAAAAAAAAAAACTGTACATATATACAACATTGGCAAATCCGCGGGGTTGTAAGCCCTCTTTTGTTTATAATGGAATAAAACCGAAAAATGGGAGAACCACTTTGTATCTCCACTTCAATTCGAGAATGTCATCTATGAAGCCCTTTATCAAAATTGTCAACAGGGGGTGGGGGAAAAAGGAAAAAGCAATGTTAAATGTGAGGATAATAATAGGCAGCAAAATGCGCTGCCATTTCGCGATCCATTTTGTACACTTGAACAAATGTGTACACCTACCAAAAAGGTAATAAAAATTATGGACAACAACCCGGCGTTGTACTCTAGCAGCTGCGAAGGAATCAAAGGGGGGGGAAAAAAGATTGAGAGGCATTTGCACATAACACACGTGCTCAGGTAGGTTTCCATATTTTCACACATCACCGTGGGGCAACCACCACAGGGATGCAACTTTTTTTTCTTCTTCTTTTTTCCTTCTATGCACTAACAATTTTATGGTCATCGTAGTATAACAACTGATAAAAGAGGGTAAAAATGAAATACAAAATGGACGGAAATATGCCAATCGGTTCTACCACTTTGTCTTTGCTTATTTTGTTCAAATCTACACCATATAATCCTGCACAAATGAGGTGAAAAAATGGGTGGGACGCGGACATTTTTTTTATTTGTTTCCCGTTTCCGTTATGTCCAATATGTACGCATAAGTGGAATATACGCGCAACAGTAACGGTATGAGTACACACAATTGCAATTTGGGACTGAAACTCTGAGGAGTTATATCGCGTATGAGTGAAACGTGAATGTATACCTCCCCTCGTGCTCGCCCCCATACACACAACGTTATGGGTGCAACTGGGTAGCGCTCTACGTACGCCTACCTTTTTCATGCAAAAAGTGTATAAACCTGGGCAGACATATAAAGGAAACTTTAAATAGCAACACACAAGGCACAATGTACAGAAGGATTATATTCTTATAGGGTGTGTTCCTTAGCACGTAGAGTACAATAACTAGGTAAAAAATAAGAAAAAAAAATAAAAACTGTTCAGGTATGTTTTCCATATATATGTACCCCTTATTATGCTTAGTAGTAGTTGTATATTTGCTCTTCATTTTTAACACATAAATGTGGAGAGAAGGTGCGGGTGGCCGGAAAAATGGCGTACAGCGAAATAACCCTGTTTTGTGTGAACTATCTAAATAATGTTTTTTCTCGTAAAAGTAAGCAGGGGAGGGGTGTAACGAACTGCCAAAGTAAGTTGAAGCGAGCCCGTTGAACTATGTTATTCGCAATAATGTACCTCCATACTCTTTCTTTCTTCTGTACCATCTCGTTTGTTACTCTCGATGCATGAAAATAGTTCATGCGTATGCGATGCTGTGATGTTTGTAGCGTGCAACAGTGAATTAAATCTAGCCAAAAGGTAGGCAAGCCCTTATGTGCAAAACTATTTTCTTCTGATGACAATCTTTTTCTACAATCCGTTTGTGCAACGAGTGATTGTGTAGTGCGGTTGACCACTTTGGTGTACATAAAAATGTACTCATACGTGGGCACGTGTATATGTATACCAATGCATGAGGGGGGTACTTCGCTCGTCCCTTTTACGCTTCATATATATGATATCTCCATTTGGGAAATCCATAGGACATACCCTTCGTTAGAACAACACGTGTGGAAATTTTTAAGGGTGCACGAGGTGCAATCTGTACGCACAACTACATAGATGTAACAAGGGAGCAGTCTCCTCTTTGCAGAGTACCCTAGGTTTAATTTCTCTGGAAAACATCAGCACGTGTGCGCTTTAAAAACGCTTTTTGCTTATTTGGAAAAAGACCCTTATAATGGGTAAAGCATGTGTGGTCCCAAATGGGCACCTTGTCAGTTTACCCCTCTCTATAACACATCGCAACAATTGCACCTTTTATTTATTGGCACGTGCAACGAGATCCCAACCCCTGCGTAGCAGCCTTTGCGGTGGTTTCTCTACAATCCGTGCGTATCGCCTTATACCTCTTGGGGACCAACAGAGTACCCCCAATTGAGCAACGACGCAAATTCGTGCACGAGACAATGTCCTGTACGTGTCAAAATTGAGACGAAAAAGTAGTACCACAGCTGGGTCAACAGCAGTTGCGCTTGCCTTTCCCCCGTTGTCCTTCCTTCCAGTGGAAAGTACTCCCCAAGGGTGCAATTTCATTTTGACAAATAATGTTGACATGACCATCACGGTCACGTGGTGCTTACAACCATTACTGGTAAAGTTTTATCTCTCAACAAATCAACACTTTGGTGTGTGCTAAAAAATCGTGAACACGTTGTACAGAATGGGATGAAAGGTGAAGCGGCGTAAAAGACAACCCACCTCATGTGCAACTATCCAAACATTACACTGTAGCAAATATACACATAGGAAAAAAAAACAAAAAATCATTACCATGGAATGGCAGAAAAATAAATGCTAACAACAATATATGAACAAGCAAGGTAATTTTTTTTTTTTTTTTTTTTAAATCTATATAGAAAAAAAAAAAAAAAAAATTAGCTAGCCAAAAGGTTTTCTATTGTACAAATAAAAAAAAAAAACAAAAAACAAATAAGCGGAGAAGTAGTACCATGGCTCATAAATCAAGCCGAAGTGTACACATTCCCCGTATACGAGCAAACATCATACATGTCGATAATACGTATGGATAACATCGTCTCTATGAGCGATGGGACTATGTTACAGTTTATGCTATAACATTTGTGCCATGAGGCTACGTGATTATTCCACGTGGGAACCATTTGGTAGCTCTTTGTCACACACACATAACCCCGTTTTTACAGGGCCACCACCGGAAAACGGCTCACTACCAAGTAAACTACAAAAACGAAAAGATACATCAATAATACTCTTCTAAAATAAACTTGGTTCATATACATAATATAATTGTGTGCCACTTTATTTGAAAAGATGTAATAAAAGGGTGGTCCATAAATGGAACTCAGCAATGAATATTTATTCTTATGAGGGTGACCCATTTTATGTCCCTTCTTCCTTTTAAACAGATATGTGTATAATGTGTACTTTTTTTGGTCCTTTTGATCCTTCTTTTGGTCCTTCTTTTGGTTTTTCGTTTGGTCTTTCGTTTTGTCTTTCGTTTTATCCTTCGTTTGGTCCTTCTTTTGGTCTTTCGTTTGGTCTTTCGTTTGGTCTTTCGTTTGGTCTTTCGTTTTATCCTTCGTTTTGTCCTTCGTTTGGTCCTTCTTTTGGTCTTTCGTTTGGTCTTTCGTTTTATCCTTCGTTTTGTCCTTCGTTTGGTCCTTCGTTTTGTCCTTCGTTTTATCCTTCGTTTGGTTGGCTTGAATACATTGTCCTGTTTTTATTTTCTTCTTTTTGTCCTCATTTTTTAGTACACTATCATTATACATGTTGCGCAGGTAAACCTTCTTCAGAACAAAATGATACAATTTTTTACTTGAGTATTCGAAATAATTTTCCATAGTTTTATTTTCACCTAAGCCAAAAAAGTCATTCACATGTACAACAAGGAGATGAAAGAAATCTCGCACATAATTATCGAAAAAGTACGCTACATTTTTTACCACATAATCAACCATAGCATCATTTTTTCCAATCATTCGAATACACAACGGCACGGAACCGTTCTTAATATGTTCACCTTTTACGATGATGTGTTCTTTCCATTTGTCTACACGGCTGCTAAGTTCTTTAAGTATTTTTTTGTTTAAGATATATTTAAGGAGGCTATTTTTTTGAACTATGAGCACATACACAGAAACGTTCGTGCGGCACGGCGCGGACTGATCAGAAACGGTACCGCCCCCTTTATTTGTGCACTTCTCGCTACCCTTGTCACCACTGTCGCTGCTATTCCATTTCTTCGAAAAAATATATATCTGATAAATTCTGGCAAAAACGAACATCGAATCGTTATCTGCATCAATCCTTTGAATGTAATATATTTCATCAAACTTGCTACGCATGTATTCACTGGTCACTAAGTAATTTTCATTTTTTATTTCCTTCTGGACCTTCGCACTTAGACCTCCTTGTGCGTGATTCAACTGGGCACTTTGTATTTTTTCGTTTTTTTCCTTCGTTTTGCTGCTTTTGCCCCAATAGTTATCCCTGCCTTCGCCATTTTCTACACCACCATTGCGCTCCCCGGCTGTCGCTCTACCCCCACACATTTTCTTCAACTTCACGAGCATCTGTTTTGGGACACTCTTTCTTCGCCCCATAGGGGCATTCCCTTGGTAGCCATTTCCTACTCCATTTTCTTTAAAGGAGCCTTCCCAATGCTCACTCCTTGCTCCTTCCACTCTGTCAGGATTCCCAATATCTCTACTTCTCACACTAGACGCATGTCGAAGTGCCTCCTCTTGGTTTTCTTCCTCACTGATTACACTTTCGTCCGTCACGTCGTGTTGTCTCTCCGACTCCAACATAATTCTGCCTCCTTTCAAATTGTTATCTTTATATTCGTAACCGTTTTGGTAATCACATGACTCGTCGGAAACGGCGGTTAATACATCACTTGGGGGGCCCTCTTTTGCAGCTCCATAGCTCATTGGGGCGGTATGTTCATCCCTGAAGTTTGCATTCATCGTTCTGTATGCGTCCATTTTGCTGCTATTCACATCCAATCCTTTTTCACCCTTTGATTTACTTTTCTTCTTATTAGCAAAATGTAACTCCGTCGATTTTGTGTTCTGTTCGTCCCGTTCATCATCATCATAATCATCATCATCATAATCATCATCTTCATTTGGGGACAAAATCAGATCCCTTTTCGCATCATTTGAGATGTTTCCCTTTTCTCTGTCATTTTTGCATAGAGTACCTTTACCATTTCGATGAACACCCGTGTGGTTACCCTCGAGGGGGTATTCCTCGAAGCCTTCTTTATTAACACATCCTCCCCCCTTTGCATCGTATACTCTGTGCTGGTTCCCCACTCCATGTTTATTATCCCCCATTTTTGCGTTCGACTCTTTGCATCCACAACAGTTGCTGTGCTTATTGCAGGTAGTGCTATGGTGTGTTGAATTCAACATCGCGAGGTGACATTTTCCCCGGGAAGTATGTCCACATTTTCTCTTTCCCCCCGTGAGGAAGGCAGCAAGGCGGGATGCAGCAGAGTAGATCGAAGAGCTGGATTTGTCAGTTATATTATAATAAAAATAGCAACTCTCTTGAAGAGTAATGTTGCACACGTATGTGCCCCAATTGAGAGTAGAGGTCTGCTTATATGTGGTAATTTTTTCTTTTGAGTCTCCTTGAATTTTCTGTACGTCGAAAATGTCTTCATTGTGATTTATGGTGTATGCTGATATAGAGCTATCGCTTTTCTCCTTGACAAAGTTAGAGTAAAAGGTGTTAATGTCTAGGTCTATCTCAAAATTGGAAATCTGCACCATGTCCTTCATGTCCTGATCACACAGATGCAGCAATTGTTTTATATTCTCTAACCAAGCCGCTTCGTTCCTCTCTCCACGCAAAACGCGATTGGAGCCGGGGACACTGCCTCCTTCGTTTGCGGCAAGTCCCTTCAATTCTTCGCATTCAAGGCACTTTTCGCACTCTTTGCCCTTTTCGAAATCTGTCTGTTCGTTCCTTTTCTTGTTGGTTGACCCATTTCGCGACTTCCAAAAACTGCCTCCTCCTTTTTCACACTTGTTGTATGATCTGTCCTTCCTTCCTGATTGGCAACCTTCTGTGCTGAAAAGGGGCATCCCGCTACTCTCCCCTTTTGAATACATTATCTCATCCCCTGACGTGTTCTGAGAAATTTCGCTCCCACCCAAAGGGGTGCAACCAGTGGAACTTTCGGCCTCCCCTTTTTTGTGATCATCATAATTTATGGTGCCTTTTTTCTTTCCTATCTTTTCTAGAAGGGCGCTAAATTTGCGTTTGATCTTTGGATTCCGGTCATGCTTTTCCGTTCCTTTCGAACTTGTCTTTGCGCTTATTTTGCTTAGGTAACTGCCACCGCGCGTCTTATGTGGGGGACAATAGTCGGAGGCTTCCCCTTCACATGCTGGTTGCGCCTCCCCCTTTTGCGAGTCCCCTGACCTCCCAAACTTCTTCAATCGAGTAAACTTTTTGAATTGGGCTAGCCCTGCCCCTCCATGCAAGCTAATTAACTTGGTCAGTTTTTTTTTTTGCACGTTCTGAACGCCTGCTTCCAGCCCCAAATCGTCATCCTCGTCAACCTCTTTGTTCTCTCCTTCTCCATTCGCTTCCTCATTCAGCAAGTTTAAATTCAGTGATGAGTTTTTTAAATCCTTTGAATTTGTTCTCATTATTCTGCTACCTTTTTTTTTTAATCTGTTCATGTGGTATTTTTCTCCCGCTTTCGTTCAGTCGTCAAGTTGAGTACTTTTTTTATTTGGCGGTAAAAAGAAAAAAAAAAAAAAAAAAAAAAGGGCGCCCAACGCATTCGAAGCAGTATGCTTTTCTCAATTTTTATGATTAAATGTTTCTTTCTGATGCAAGTAAACATTTATCCGCGCATACCCTTCAGGTGAGGATATGCCAAATACTTGCAACCTCACCCCTTCGTCATTCCGTTCGTTGTGCTACTTAGTTGCTCATTCATGAGCCCAGAGTGAAGTAAAAAAATATGCCTTTTTTTTTTTATTTTATATTTTTATATTTTAATATTTTATATTTTTGTTTTTTTTTTTTTTTTGTTCATAAAATTACTCGTTTTTTTTTTTCTCATTTTAATAACCTATGCCCTTCTCACAACCCCGCGTGCGCAGACAATTTCGGCTTATCGGCGCTCCGCTACAGACATAAGCGAACAAGGCCAGAACGCCAACAACGCGCGTACTACTTTTTGTGACAGCGGTCAAATCGAGTTGTCCGCATGTGCGTGCGGAATGGTGATGTTGAGCAGGATATGACATTATCACCACAGGAATAAATAAAAGCAAAAAACGCGCGCATGCGCATATCGTACTCGGCAATTTTTAAGACTCACCGCTGCTCCGCGAGGATATAATACTCTTCGTTTATATATGTATGTATATATATGTATATATATATGTATATGTATGCATATATATGTATATATACATGTGCGAGTTTTCTGCAACAGGTTTTTTCCCCTTTTACGCCGAAGCTGCAATGGCGGGGAAGACGCGACGAGTCGCCGGACGCATATATTTTCAACTCGCAACTCTGCGCGTATGCTTCTCGATATAACTTTGTCCAGGGGGGAAGCGAATAAACTAGTCATTTGCGGTTTGGAAGCGCCCCCGTGGGTATCGCCATACAAAACATAACTTCAACAAGTGCGAACCGTTGACCAGGGCGCAACTCCAACCAACGCATAACCCCCGATCGACTTGCGCCCCGCCCCCTTTTGACCAGCGTAAAGGGTACTATGTTCGCCCAGTGCAGAAGCAAATTAGATGGGGCAAAAAACGGGTGAAAA